CTGTCAGCTCGCAGTCAGATGTGGGGCTGGAACTCAGGAACCTTGAGATCACGACCTGAGCCGAAATCAACTTTGACACGTAACCCACTGAACCACCCAGGCTTCCCAACATCGTGTGTCTTTAAAGGTTCCTGTGCGGGATCACCTGGGGGCTCAGTCAGTTAGAGTCCGACTCCAGCTCAGCTCATGATCTCACGCTTCATGAATTCGAGCTCCGTGTCGAGGCCCATGCTGACAGCTCGGAGCCTGGAGCCTCGAACCTGCTTCAGATTCTGTGTCTCCCTCTCTCTCTGCCCTCCCTGTTTGTGCTCTGTCTCTCAAAAATAAATACACGTTTAAAAAAATTTTTTTTAAATAAAAGTTCCTGCGTTCCAGCCATCAACAAAGGCCCGGGGAAGCAGGTGCTTTCATATTTCCTACTTCTCTTCGCCTATTTGCTCCTCTTTTTCAGCTCATCTCGGCAGACGCCCTTCACCCAGCTTCAGGCCGACAAGGTGAAGTCCACGAAGCCTCCCGTGCCTGGCTCTTCCTTCCACAGCACCTTGCGTCACGCTTAGGCATAGGTGTGCAAAAAGATGGATGAGTGAAGCCCCAGAGGAACCGATTTGAAAACCTCGATTTCCACCTTTATAGAGATTTTAAGGTTTAAATTGAATCCACTCTTCAATTGGTTCCAATTTAACATTTATCCTAAGAAATCTTATTTTGTGTACCAACACAATTGACTAAAACTTGATGTCATGAATGCAGAGGACATTTTGTTCATTCGCCCTGAAACACCACATGAATGATTTGGATATAATTTCAATTAAAAAACAGATGGCAATATTTGGAAATAAGGATAATTTATTATTATGCTTTTCCTTCTTTTATGTCTAGATTCTACATTTAAAAAAATTTTTAATGTTTATTTTTGAGAGAGAGACAGACAGACAGAGTGCAAGTGGGGAAGGGACAGAGAGAGAGGGAGACACAGAATCCGAAGCAGGCTCCAGGCTCTGAGCTGTCAGCATGGAGCCCAATGTGGGCTCGAACCCACGAACCTTGAGATCATGACCTGAGCCGAAGTTGGATGCTCAATCGACTGAGCCACCCAAATGCCCCTCCCAATCTGCTCTTTGATCAGAGTGTGTTAAAATAGTAATTTAAAAAAATTTGTAATTCTCCCATTTCACATCTTACTCGTGGTCCGTATAAGCTATGTCATATCCTGTGTTTGACAACATTCCTTAAACTACTTTTTCTCTTTAATTTTTTTCTTTTTCTAGAACGTAGCCTGCTTTCCCCATGGATCTGACCCTGCCCTCTTCCTCCACCTGCTTATTTTAGCCACATTGCCGTTCTCTCAGTGCACTTCTGCACGGCCTCCCCACACCCTAGCCATTAATCACTCAACAACAAATACCTTGGGAACACTGGTTCAAAAATGAGTTAGCTTCTGAGCTTTCTGTGTCACGTTTTAATGGAGCTTCAAAATAACGATTTAGAGACCACTTTTTGAAAATTCTCCTTTTTTGAAAAAAAACCGTAAACCCCATCACAAAAATCAATGAAAAAAAGAGCAGCATTCAAAGAAAGAAGTTATTTGCCTTCCTTTTGTGAGCTCCCACCTCTCAGAACCTTAGAAAGCACCACCTGCCATCGGGTGGGTCTAACTTGTTTACTCCGTCCCACACTGGGCATAAGCCTGTGCTGGAAGTTTCTAGAAACTGTTCCGTGTGTGGGTTCTGGTCCAGGAGAAAAAGAAAGATCAAAGGAGAAAATGAGGGAAATGTATTTTCTTTTTGTTTTTCTGATAAATTTTTGTTTAAGAAGGTGTGTTAACACTTCTGAAGTAGAGCAGCAAACTAAAGACAGAGTCTTGAAGAGCTCTTCCCCGAATCTATTCTGCTGTTGTCTTGTAATGTAAAGACAAGATTACGTTCTTCCGTACATACTCTGCGTGGATTACAGAATGAGCCTTTGTGGTTGTCGTTATTGTTACTATAATGAAGGGGAAGGATTTCAGGAATCCTTACCCTTTATAAGCATTTCCAAATACTTCTCTTCATTATGTTTGGGCCAAACATTTTGGCCCTTTGCCTCTTCATTAATTCTCACATAGTAATACACTAAAGTCTCACAGCAAGTCTAGGAGATGTTCATTTGCTGCTAAGATAAATAAAGGTACACATGTAGTGTGAAAGTAGAGAAACAGTGATGAATCATCGTTTATGAATCAAAGACATGATTGTCTTGTTTCCCTTCTCAGAACGCTACCCTCAGTCCCCTTTGCCCTCACCAGGGCCCAGGCTGGTGAGTGTGGGGGTCAGAAATCCACCTACAATCCCCACCCCAAATGGGATCCAACCTGACTCAGAGCTCATCCTGCCTCGTTGTTTGTGTCCTGGCCCATGGCTCCTTGGACTTTCTAAAACACACTGTGAACTCACAGTTGCCTCCACATCTTCCCTACAACTTGGTTCCTTCACAGAGATTGTCTTTCTCTCTCTTCACCTCTTGCAAGAAAATTTTATTCATCATCACAGGTCAAGGGCTCTGAGAACTACCCCGATATTGGTGAAATGAGTCTTTCCCCCCGTCAGGCTTTTGGAGGCACTTACTGGCTCCTGTGCTATGAACATAATGACAATTAGCTTTGGATGACAGACACCGCTTGCTCTGCCATCTTCTCCAAGAGATTCCAGATTCCTCGAAGACCACCCTCAGTGTGCATGAATTTGAAATAGCAATGATTTATCAAATATGTCTGCATATTGCCTTATTCATAGATGTTTTCCAATGTTCATATTTACTGTGATATAACATATTTACTTGTTATAAAATGTAATGAGTAATGAGCTCTAACTTCTTTTCTTCTGACCCACACAAGTAAGCACCTCCCCAAATATTGAGTTACCAAGCAATCCACCATGATGACATCAAAAGAAATACTGCGTATTAACCTAAACATATGCGTGAAACTGCTTTGGAAATGGTAAGGCACAATGCTTAAAGGAACCGGTATTACACAGAGAACTTTAAGGATTGACACCCCCCTACCCCACCTCCACCAAACCTCATCTACTTCTCTCTTTTTTCCAACTATAGAAATTATCCTATTTTACACATTTTACAAACCATTTTCTTTTCATTCATGGGTTAGCCTTCTTTCTGAGGGCCTGATAGACCAGGGCACTGGCCGGGCAGACAAATGCTAATAACTCTTCCTGAATGAGACACCTGCTCTGGTCGGTCTGCTGGGAGACTGCCGGGTAACACCAGCTGAGGTGTTCCTGGCTGCAGGCTGGCTCAGCAAGGGCCTGGCTCCCCTGACTTGCTCTTGAGATGAACTTGGGACTGAAGTAGGCTTAATGTCTCAGTTTTGCCTGAGGATGCTGGTCTTGTTCGCCTTGAGGATGTGGAGGATTTCTGGACAGTTCTGAAGTTACCCCAGAATCTTGATTTACTTGCACTTTCAAAGGCATACTGTATGTGTACGTTTAAACATTTTTAATTTATATTTTATTTATTTTGAGAGAGAGACAGAGACAGGGAGTATGAGTGGAGGAGGAGGAGAGAGAGAGAGAATCCCAAGCAGGCTCTGCACTTACAGCAGAGAGCCCGAGGTGGGGCTCAAACTCATGAACTATGAGATGATGTCCAGAGCCAAAACTAAAGAGGCGATGCTTAACCGACTGAGCCACACAGGCATCCATGTGTGTGGTACTTTTAAAATACGTCCACAAAATCTTTGGCACTTTTCCTGCAAAAGAAGGAGACCAATTTTTCTCCCCTTGAATATGGGCTTGACTTAGTATTTTGATTCTAACAAATAGAATGTGGCAGAAGTGGTAGCGAGTCATTTCTGAAACTAAGTCATAAAAGACAGTATCATGTCTGTCTTGATCTCTCTCTTCAATCAATAGCCAGGTCTCTAGGGTAACCTCTCAGTTCTCAGAGAGGTTATTACAGCATAGAACTGAGATTTCTTACCAACCGGTACTAAAGTACCAGCTACATGAGGATGCCATCTTGGGAGTGGACCCTCCAGTCCCAGTCAAGCCTTGGTCGACATCTTGATGTGACCATGAGAGACACTCTGGCTGAGCTAAACCAGAACCTACTTACCTTCAGGCTCCTGAGCTACAGAAAATATAAAACAATAGATGATCATTTTTATCCTAAGCCCACTAAGTTTTTGGGTTGTTTGTCATCCGTCTGTAGTTAACTAATATAGAATGTGGTATCTGGAAGTGGGGTGACACCATAACTAAAACCTTAGAAGTGAACTTGGATTTGGAGTTGTCCAGGCAGTGGGTGCTTGAGGGACCTCAAGAGGAGTTGAATAAAAGCTTAACTTTTTTGAAGAGATTGTTAATAGAAGCCTCATGGCTTTTGACAAGATGGTAAGTGATGGCTAAAAGGAAAGTGAGAAAAATGTTATTAGAAACTAGAAGGAACAAACTCATATTTCAGTGATGTCAGGTTCAGCAACTGTGGTGAAGACAGAGTGGAAAGCAGGAAAAGGAGTTAGTGAACTGGAAGATGTAGCCGATAGGTTTCTAGACAGACCTTTTAAGGGATTGCCTGGCTTCTCCTTGACTGCTTGCAAAACCATCCATAGGAGGTTCTGGAATCTTAAAGGAGACAAGAATTGTTGTTTTGAAAAATCCAGACTCTGTATCAAATGATTCTGAACTTAAAAGTGGTTCTGCAGCAAAGATCAAATCCAGAGCACAGTCAAGGGAGCTCGATGTAAAGAAGTAGCCAGCCAGGGGTGTGGCTGTAAATTCTTGACTGCAGAAATACCTAATACGTTCCTCACAGACCATTCAGAAAATAAGATTTCTGAAGATCTTCAAATTGTCTTCTCTTACTGGGGTCAGAGGAGGTCCAGGCTAGAGAAAGGTTTCTCTCAAAGATATTTGGAGTTGTGGCTTTAGTCTAAATGAGTAAATGCTTGCAGGGATCAAAGGAGAAACACAAAATGTCTTAAAGAATTTAATGAGCAAAAACATTGCTTGCTTGAACTACAAGGGATAGAAAGAGTAGCATTGAAGAGACTTTTAGAACCCCGCAATTTCTACAAGCAAGAAGCAGGCTGAGAATACTATTCAGCTGAAAACACAGGCTTCAGGGAAAAGAAAGAATACTTCAGACGAAAACCGAGCACTTGGAAAGAGAGCAGAGCCACAAGCTATGGCTGGAGATGACTCCCAGCCGTGACTATGCATCAAGGAACTGTCACACGTGCCTTGCTGGATTTCAACATTGCCATGGACCAGTGCCTCCTGTGTGCCCTGTGTTCTACCATTTTTACAAAGGGGTATTGGCACTGGGTACCTGAGTTTGTCTCACCATTATATACGGGTGTGGGGCACAGTTGACTTGCCTCTTCAGCTGGCAGGTCCGCAGATGGAGAAGACCAGGACCCAAGCGAGCACATCCTAAGAGCTTCGTCTGCCGCAGAGCTTGACGTAGATGCCAACAGCCTCTAACGTGAGTCCCGGTTGGTGCTGTAATAAATAAGATCGGGAGTAAGTGTGGGAGGGAGTGTGTGTGCTCTGCGTGTGGGAGGGAGGTTAATAATTCACAGTTAGAGAGCCGACTCCGGTGGTTTTATAATAGAGCAAAACCTTGGTTTGCGAGCGTCATTCTTTCCAGAAACATGCTTGGAATCCAAAGCACTTGTATATCAAAGCGGATTTCAAGAAACCATTGGCTTAGTTGTGATCATGTGACGTTCGACGTCACATACTACTTGAATTGCAAGGTGTCGCTCCTTTATCGAGTTAATATTTATTAGAAATGTTTGCTCATCTTGCACAACCCTCGCAGAACAAGTTCCTTGCAATCCAAGGTTTTACCATACATTCCCAGAGGTGGGAATCACTGTGGACCGTCTTGGAAGCTGGCTAGTACAGTGTGATCACAAGTGATTTGTTCTTTATTCTACTACTTTTGGGGGCAGTTTATTATGCAACAGCAGATAACTAATATACAAACAGACCTTTATGGAGTATTTTGTTTATTCCTGATGGTTCTAAATGAGAGGTGCCATTGTCTACTGCCTCCTTCTCTCCATGGAGCACCAGGGGACTGGTAAGGACCAGAAGGTCCCACACAGGCTCTAGTCTTAGTAAAGCTCTCTAGTTGGAGAGGTGTACCCGCATTCCAGAATCTATGGAGTTGGCTTGACATCCTCATCACTGGTGCTGGGGCATAAGTCTTGACAATCCGCTATCTAGTTTTATTCATCTGTTTTCTAATTTTGTATACTTCAGATTTTTCAGTTTTACTCAAAGTTCCACTCTTGGGTTCTAAAGCCTTAGTATTCCTACAGGTAAACAAATGTCATTTGCCTTTAGAATAAGCTCTTTACACCATGTCTTTTTAAATATGAAATGTACGGAGTTTGCTTCCTACCCAGGCTTTTTCCAGAGTACTGTAATGTAAATCAATCTCCCCAGATAGAAGCACAGAAAAAAGAGGAGATCAGAGAAGTACAGCATGTTGTTTCCAACAAGGTGGAAAATTCATCTGAAATGACAGAAATCCTGTGCAATGGCAAATCTCTGAGGATTCATGTGTCTCACCAAACTAGCTGACCGGTAAGTGCAATTGGGCTCTCGCTTAATATCAATACTTACACTCCCGTTTGAATGGAAAATGAGGCAATTAAAAGTTCCCAAATTCCTTGTTTTGAATTGCTTCTGGTCCCCTTGGGTTTGCCATAGCCCAGTTTTGTGCCTCTTATTTTCAGAAGCCCTGTCTTGCAAATTTGAAAGTTCATAGACTCTATTTTGAAACAGGCTGCCTTCCAGAAATAGATTTTACTTTATTATTTTCCACTCCCTCTGGGATATCTTGACAAAAATGGCAAAACCCAAAGACTTCCTGAAGGCTAGTCTTTTTTCTGGGTCATATGATTCTTTTCAGTTTTCATCTGGAGAGGGTTTTCTGATAACAACAGGTTTGGCTGTCGGTGAACTGGAGAAAATCCTGTTGCTTTAGCATTAACAATGAGTAGAAAGCCAGCGCAGTACGGTTATTTGCTTAACACAATAGAAGTTGGTCCAGAGTGGACTTGCAGGAGTCAAATAGACCGTGTGGGAAAATCTGTGTTACTGCAACTGAGTCAAAAAGAATTTCTGAATGCAGAAACGCTGACCAGACTGTAGCAAGCAATTTGGTCAACGTTAATTCATATCCAAAGATTAAATTGGATTAAAAAGATCCTTATGAAGAAGTGGTTAAATATTGCAATCAGTAGAGATCTGCAGCCCAAAAGGGGGAAGAAAAGAGAAGAGTCAGTGAAATGAAACATTAGAAACGCAAAACAATATGCAATTAATAATGGCTGTCTCAGAGGCAGGATTTTTCCAAGGTGGAAACCACAAAAGAATGAACAATGAAAGAAGGTGCTGAAGTCCTCAAACTCATTACTCTCATGCATCATGAAGTGTAAAACAAACAGTGATTAGATTACAGAGATGCTCTCTCTACTGATATTTTTAAGCTTTTGGCTCTGTTGGCTAAACAGTTTCCAAGTGGATATGAATGTAGTTGAACCTGGTGTGTCTGAGTTTATTGTCTAGACACAGCCTTACAGATATGGCTTGAATAAATCACTGCTTTACCTCAGGCAGATTTCCAGCCCAGGAAGACTTATGAGGTTGTGGGGTCAAGAGTGAGACCCGTGCTAGGAGTCAGGAAGAAGAGGTTCAGGCCTCCTGGCCAACCGGGGATGAATGGATTTAATGCTGTGGGTCCCAATTTTCTGTTGACAAAATGTAAGTCTGAGTTCCTTTTCACAAGGTTGTTGAGAAGATGTCACCTGTAACTGTACACATACGTGCATACACTTGCATGCATGCACACACTCTCACACTCACATACAAATACACGCGCACACACAAGCACTGTAGAATCTTTTTTTTTCTTTTTTCTTTTTTTTTTTTTAACAACTCCAGTCAATGAAAGGAAACTTTATGGAGGTCCCACAGCCATTGGACCTGGGCAGGAAGCCACTCTGCAGGATTTAGTGCTGGGTGGAATGACACACATAGTTGACCCATATAAAAACAAGTGTAATAAATTCTAATTCTTAAGGTAAACACTATTGCCTTCATTATTCAAATGCCACCATGATGTCATTTTGTCACTCGCCTTCAGGCAAGCAGGTAGGAAGGGTGATCCTGAAACAAACCTAGGTTTTTGGATTCCAAACCACAGGCTGGAAACCACCATTCTAAAACCCAGGAGAGGGGGAAGGGAGTGGAGGTAGGCTCCATGATGCCATGTACAATGACCTCTATAGCCTCTGTAGGACTTCCCTCGGAATATAATTCCTGGGGGATACTTGATAATGAGCAGCCCAAAGACTGGCCTACCACACAGGTGCTCCAGTCATTTAGAGTCATGGTCAGTACACATCCCATGGGCTTGAGGTCTTGCTGAGAATTAAAACCAGTTGAAGTCATGGAGGAAATGACCTCCATCTACAAGAAGCCAGTAGCAAACAGCCTTCTCTCCCAAGCTGTGACAACCAAGAGATGTCCTCCGACATAGCTGAATGTGCCCTGGGGTACCCGATCACTCTTATTTGAGAACTGTTGCTCTAAAAACATCTCACAAGGCTGACCCATGGATTACTAGTCCTATTTGTATAGCAGTTGGAAGAGCCGAAGTCTTAAATGCAGATTCTATATTAGTAAAAGGTCAATAGCATCTTTACACTATTTTTAAGGCAATTTTAAATGTGTATGTGCTTCAAATACTAATGTGTTTTTGAAATTGAAAAGACTATTGCCTTCTTATTAATAGACTCTTTTATATTTTAATCAATAAGCAGGGCTATTGTATTACTTTCTTTTTAATTCTGCTTGCCTTATCCCAAAATAAGATTCTGAAAATAGCGTATCAAGAAATAAAGGAATACTATATAAAATGAACCACATTAAAATGTAATAGCAGAAGTTTTTCCTTCAAACTTCATGTAATTGAGAGTTCTTTTTTTTTTTTTTATCACCACGCTAGCAGGATGTCTTTAAAAGGAAACAAGTTTAGGGGCATCTGGGTGGCTCAGTCGGTGAAGCATCCGGCTCTTGACTTCAGCTCAGGTCATGATCTCACGGTTCATGGGTTCGAGCCCCACATCAGGCTCTGAACTGACTGTGGAGCCTGCTTGGGATTCTCTCTCTCTCTCTCTCTCTCTCTGCCCCTCCCCACTCATCTGCTCTGTCTCTCTTTCTCTCTAAATAAAAATAAACTTAAAAAATAAAAGGAAACAAATTTAAACAATAGATTTCCAGTCTCCATACACTTTTACCAAGAGGAACACATCTAATACATGTATGCACATGTGATGCTTAATTTTATGTTTCAAAATGACTAGGCCCATAACGCTGGTTGGATATTATCTCTGGGTGTGTCTATGAGAGTGTCTCCAGAAGAGATTAGCATTTGAGTTGGTGGGCTGAGTAAAGCTGTCCTTGCCAAGTGGGTGGGCATCATCCAATCCACTGAGAGACTGAACAGAACAAAAAGATGGAGGGAGGTTGGACTCGCTCTGTCTGACTGCTTCTCAAATATGCCTGGTCCTCAAGGCTCCTGGCCCAGATCTAAGCCCTGGCTTTCTCCTGTCCCCAGCTTGTAGATACCAAATGGTGGGACTTCTCAGCCTCCATAATATCATAAGCTCCTTTATGTACAAATATAAATATGTGCATCTACATATATATATATATATATGAATATGTGCAATCTCTCTTTCTATCTATCAGTGTTTACGTCTCTATATCTCATTGGCTGTTTCTGGGAGAGCCCTCCCTTTTAACTTCAGAATATTACCTTACTTGAGAAGAAGGCCTTTGCAGACATAATTAAGTGAAGGATTGGAAGTTGAGATCACCCTGGATCTAGATGGGTCCTAAATCCAATGACTCCTTATCGGAAGAGGAGAGGACACAGAGCAGGGAGAATCCACGTGAAGATAGAGGCAAAGACTGGAGGGATGTGTCCATAGGCCAAGGATTGTCTGCCATCACTAGGAGCTGGAGAGAGACATGGAATAAATCCTCCCTCAGGGCCTCCAGAAGGAAGCATCCCTTTGGCACCCCAAATTTCAGACTTCTGGTTTCCTAAACTGTGAGGGAATAAGTTTCTGTCCTTTGAAGCTATCCAGCATGTGGCACTTTGTTACAGCATCTCCAGGAGACTAATACAGTGTGTGTGTTGCCATGGGGCATTGTCTTGGTCAAGGCTGCTGTAACTGAACGCCAGAGACTGGGGGACTCACACACAGCACACACTTGTTTCCTGCAGTTCTGGAGGCTGGGTGGTCCATAGACCCAGGTGTCAGCACATTCGGTGCCTGAGGAGATTCCTTTGTTTGCACATGGCTGTCTTCTCTTTGTATCTTCATGTGGCAGAGAGAGAGAGAGAGAGAGATCATCCTTCCGTGTCTCTTCTTATAAAGTCTCTTCCCATTCATGAGGGCCCCACCATCATATTATAACTTTCCAAAGGAAATACAATCCTAATACCATCGCAATGGGGATTTTGAGTTCAACATACAAAGTTTGAGGGGGAATAAACATTCCATCCATTGTAGTCTTGTTCCCATGAATTCCTGAGAAATTCATTGATTCTTTGCATCCTTGCTCAGGCCTGTGTGGATTTTTATTTCAGCCAATCCATCGTTTACTGGGGTGTAATGAAATATTTTGCACAGGGAAGGGATAGAGTATTTTGTTTAAGCTTTAGGAAATGTGGACATGTCTTCTAACCACATAGGATGCCTGGTTATTTTTGAAGATGCTCTGGGAAAACCATGTTGGGAAGATCATTGTCTCTCACTTCAAGGGGTTCAGCACATTCAGGTAACAAGGATGACAAGTAAGTCTTGTGTGATGTATTCTGCTCCAGAAATACAATCATCATTGGGGGAAATTCAGCTCACTGGGTTACAATACCTATGGAAGCTTTGTCCCAAAGGGAAAGGGAAGACAGATATGCATTTGAAGTCCTGCCATTGTGGGAGAGCTGGAAGACAGACCAAACAAAAGTCGCCTGTGCATAATGGAGAAGACCCCAAAATAAAGAAGGAAGGACTATAAAGTCACCTTCAGAGAAGTTGGGCACAGAGTCAATGAAGATGCAGCAATGTCTTGCACAAAACTCGGGGTCTTTGGGGTCAGGTAGAGCTGCACTGGATCCTCTTTCTGCGTCATCTTTGCTCTGGACTGCTGACGTGAAATCATTAAACAGCGTGTTTCACATCCATAGGAAAGCCCAGTCTGTGGGCTTCCCCCTCAGACTTGGGACCCAAGGGCACTCACATTAAAGAGCCAAGAACATTTGAGATAGTTCCTGCTGAATGACCCCCTCCACCCATTTTGCAAGTGAAGCAAACAAGTCAGGAAAAACAATTGTCATGAACGGCAGTGACAATCTGCTCACCCACCATCTTTAAACTGATTGCTTAAAAGGCGCCGCTGTGTGAAGTGTGATTGGCTTTCCTCCAGGAATGTCAGGCTGACTTTGCATCGAGAGAGCATTTATGAAAATCCCAGCTAGCTGTCTGCCCTTGGAGGGACTCACTTTCGTTTAAGATCACTTGGGCAAAATGTCACACATTTTCAATTTGTAAAGTAATACTCTGCCTCCTGAAGTGTTTGTGATCTTCAGAAAATGGAACTTAATGTTTATGTGTTTATGGTTTTGACCACTAATATTTCATCACTAGTGAAAATAATGAAATCTGAAATTATAACTTATTGCCATATTATATATATGCATACATGTATATATATAATTTAAAGAAAATTCCAAAACAATAAAATGTAAGACAAATAAGAGATAAAATAAATAAAGGGTCTTTTACTCTCCCGTTCCCTATTGTTATGGAAGAGAACTCAGCTTTAAAGCAGAATCACCTTAACTTTTGGGAGGAAAGTATATTTATTTTTAAAGCTTAGACTTCAGTGGATCCACAGATAACCCGGACAACACTGTAGAATATGACAGTCATAGCCCACACATCAAAACACCATTGGGTCAAGTTAGATTAAATTGCATTATCTGACTCTTCTGTCCATAAAAATACATTCTAAAATCTGGGCTCTCTAGTACAATATAAGATCCAAGCAATTTCAAAGTTGAAGTGATGAAAGAGTTTTCAAATAAGAGGCTCTGAAAAGCTTTGTTCAGAGCTTTTTCAAAACCAAAATTGCGGGGCGCCTGGGTGGCTTAGTCGGTTAAGCGTCCGGCCTTCGCTTAGGTCATGATCTCGCGGTTCGTGGGTTCGAGCCCCGCGTCGGGCTCTGTGCTGACTGCCAGCTCGGAGCCTGGAGCCTGTTTCAGTCTGTGACTCCCTCTCTCTCTGACCCTGCCCTGCTCACGCTGTCTCTCTCTCTCCTGAAATAAAAAATTTTTTTAAAAAATTGCTTATTTTTAGTGCAAAGTTTATTTTTGATGAGTAAACTCAGCTTGAATGCCAACGGAAGGGGTGACAAGGAAGCCGGCTGTCTGCTGAAATTCACAAGGGGGGAATTTGAGCTCGTTTCGCTTCTCTTCCCTCCTATTAAAAAAATTGCATTTTCTTAACTACCTTATTTTTGGCAGACAAAGAATATTCAGTTTCTTTTCTTTTCATTCCGTTAGTTGACAGGACCTCCAGGTAAAAGAAATGTTTTTAATAAAATATATTCCCTCACCCAGTGTGGACTGGAGGTAGCTGAGCAGGGATAGAGATGTTAGTGCTGGCTCCTCTGAGACATATAATATGCTCTCTTTAATCTGTTTGATTGTCCCTGAATTGCTGATTGCTGCTCTTTTCTCTCCAAGGCACAAAAGGGAAGCTTAATATATTTATATATGTACACACGCAGAATATACAGCCTGTATTAGGCATGCTCATTTGCTTTCTTTTTTACCTCTCTCTGTTTCTGCCTCTCTTCTCACTGTGAGCTAAAAAATGGAAGCAATTTGCTGGAGCCAGTCCTAAAGTCCTTCTAGCCAGCATCCTGAGTTGTGTAATTGCCGTGATATTTCACCCACACCAGCTGAGATGAGTGAAAACTGTGAGTGGCCTGTGTGGGGGTGCTGATCTGCTGATGCATCATGGGCAGCAGCCCATACACGTTTGTGTCCATTTCTCCCTGTTACACAGAGGAGCTGCCCCTGCGGCCATGCGGGAGTCCGTGGGTTTGGTTACCCGGTGCCCGGTTTGCTCGGATACCTGAGACGTTAGCGGTCATCGCTGGTGTGGCTTTTCAGACAAAGCGAGCATCCTAGGTAATAACCCTCCATGGCTTTGTGTAGAAATCCACCCTCTGGGTAAAGATACCTGGTCCCTGTTATAAAAACGAGGCATCCAAATAAACCATCAATTTTTGGACAACAAGTTTATCTGTGTGTGTGTTTTTTTTTAATGTTATAGTTAAAGGCCTGTCTTTGTTTGAGCAGTTTCTGAACTGATGGTTCGATGGGCATTCCAGTCTCTCTCATGCTCGTCCCGACCCAGCGCCATTCACTCGCTCTCGTTATTACACGCCCTTCTCCAGGACAGATTTATTTCCTTCCACCTTCCAGATGGACGATTCCCTTTGCTGTTTAATTACTACGCTGACGACTTCCCCCAGTTGGATTTTGCTTCATGGATCAATCACTGCCCCACTGTCCCTTGATTGCACGTAAATGTATTTCATCAAAAGAGATCGGCTCACCTCTCCGTTATTCATAGTGTTGATTTCAGACGAAAGCTGGCCTCAAAGGCAGCGGCCCAAGGTGATATGCATTTGTCAGCAACCCCCCTCCCCCCCCAACTTAAATCATTCCCCAAATCTCCCTTTCTGGCTCCTGGCATCCTGTTATATGTTGTGTTTTTAGGACTCAAGACAGGTCCGGATGCATTCGCCCATGACTCTATGTTGCATATTCTTTGGCCACACAGCGATGAACTGACAGTAATTGTAAAGACGCGAAGCCTTAGGCTCACCTGTGCTTTCAAGCCACTTGCACTAGTTTGATGTCTGATAGTTCCATTCATTCATCTGCTCCACGACAGGCACCATGGGGGGGATAAAGAGGACCAGACAGAGATGAGTGAGATACGGTTCCTGCCTCAAGGAGCTCCAGGTCTGAGCGTGGACAAATAGACACAACCGTCCACTGGCGGCGTGTTAGATAGGAAGTTTCTCCTGCTGCAAGGAGCTCATCAGGTACCGCGAGGTGTCAGGGAGGACCTCAGTGCTCCCAGCCTGCACGTGCTCCCACAGCACTGTTTCTTCCTGGGCTCATCTGCAGACCAGACGCTCAGGGCTCGGGGGTTGGTGGAGGGCCTGATGCAACAGACTCAACACAACGAAGGCATTTCTTTCCACTTTCAGATGTGGGGCTTCCACCAGGACGACTCCCATGTGGCCGTCTGCAAGGAGCGGAAGATAGAAAGGACAGCACCCCCCGCGCGCCATGTGCAGGCACCCTGCGGGAGACACCTAGGCGTTATCGCACTTTAAACCATGCTCCGATGTGGAATACAGTGGTAAAAACACCAATCAGAGATTTAAGAGACTATATCAACATATATATATACGCACATCTTTATAATGTGAATGGGATAAAAAAGATGTGATTTGACGAGAACTGTTTCACGTGTCTCTTTTATAATTTAGATAACATTGTAGACACCACCAGCTTCCATACATAAAGATATTTATCATGTATACGGCACATATTATTTAATTTACTCAGGTTGGCTCTTTAACGTGTTTTAAACTAGGTTTTATTCACGTCAGGTTTCTACGATTGTATTTTCTATTTGTCTTTCATTTCATTTCACAAGTGAAGTTTGGCTCTAGGGTGAACTTCTCAACCTACCATTGTATTTCTCGATCTCTAGTTCATAAAGCAGAGAATGTGGCCAAAACAAAGCCAAGAGACTCCATGTCTTGCACACTGTAGTGGAATGCAGATTAGATGCAATAGAGCACAACAGAATGTGCATGGGCTTTAGGTAAAATGAATTATGACCCCAAGCTTGCTTCATCTATTTCTGGGCTGTGTGGTCTGAGGTGGTTCACTGACCACTGACCACTTTGGTTTTCAATTTCTTCATCTCTACAGAAGTACAATCATGCCTACCTCATAGATTCACTGTGAGGATTAAATTAGATATTACATACAAAATGCACGCAGCAGATCATCCTAATATACAACCTTACCTGACTCGTTCTTAAAAATGCAATTGATAACTCGAAATGTTATGACATTTCCAAGGCTTGGAGCGCTTCTTGGATTTTTCTCCTGACAGGTTGTGTTCCCAAAGAGCGATGTGCTTGGTTTTTCCACATACCCATTAAGACTGGGTAGAGTTACATTCGCTAAGCAACTAGGTTGAAAACATATACATATTCAAGTGCTGTGTCTTGAATTAAATAGATTATCAGGTTGAACATTATAGTAAAATGATACTGGTTTGAATTCTCTTACAACTTACCATTTTGATTTCCCCCCATTATTCTAATACGGTATTTATCGTTTTTGTTAAAGATGAATTATTTTTTAAGAGACAGAGAGGGAGAGCAGGAAGAAGGGCAGAGAGAGAGAGAGAGAGAATCCCAAGCAGACTCCACACTCAGCCCAGAGCCCAGCACAAGGCTCGATCCCACAACCCTGGGATCAAAGCTGAGTCAAGTCAAGAGTCAGACGCTCAAGAGACTGAGCCATCCAGGTGCCCCTCAAATATGAAATTTTTTATTATTTTTAATTTTTTTTCAAAGTTTACCTATTTGTTTGGAAAGAGAGGGAGAGTAGGGGAGAGAGGCAGAGAGAAGAGAGAGAGAGAGAATCCCAAGCAGTTTCCACGCTGTCGGTGCAGAGCCTGACAAGGAGCTTGAACTCACCAACCATGTGTGAGCTTATAAACTGAGCTGAAATCAAGAATCAAACCTTAACTGACTGAGCCACCTAGGTGCCCCTTAATGATGAATTTGTTAAAACATTTTTTAATATATTAAGAGTATTAAGCCTTTAACTGCCTTCTACATGGCAAAAATATTTCCCATTTGTTGTTATTGCTGCTGTTTTAATCATAGTTTTTAGTAACTCTGTTTTTCCCTCGCAGAAGTTTTTAGTTTTCATGAAGTCAGATATGTTTGGCTTTTCTTTTCCCTAAAATTATAAGACCTCTCTCACCACAAGATTTTATAGGAGATTTTCTGCTGTTTTGTTGGCAAAACGTCTGGTTACTTTCAGGATCTGCTTTCCCTGCTTTGTTTTGACTTCTGGAATGTTCCACGCTGACCAGGCCTTCTTCTTTTTAATCCCAGATGCCGTGTATCTCTTAGACATTCCTCAAAATCTCTGGCCCATTGATGGGCCTCTTCTCGCAGAGTGCTGCAGACATATTTCCATTCTTATTTTCCTATATCTTCCCTTATTACCATGGGATATGAAGAAAGATTTGGCCCTTACCGTAGGCTCAGTCTGCTATCTGATAAACAGAGGCCAGTCCTCCTTAAATAAAAGATCTTTAAAAATGCTTGTTGAGTAGGAAAATGGACACCTGTGTGAGTTGTGGATTTTATGTGCGCTCCAAAGGAATTAAATAAATTCATTTCTTTCCATCTGTAGCTTTGGAATGGCTTAAGGAAGCCTTACAGATCTGGACTCTTCTTTAAAAATAAAACAAACTTTAATAAACACTTAGAAGAAGAAGAGAACAGTATTACAGGTTTTCAGTTGGAAAATAGAAACTTTCACTTCATACTTAAAATAATGGCTGTTTTGTTGTTGTTGTTGCAAAGGATGCCAGTTCTCTACTGCAGCCCCTACTAAACGTAGTTACCACCTACCTGAATGCTAGTGTCCTGCGCCTTCAGTATTAACTGGCTCAGCCGCTCTGCAGCTCGTAGTTGAGTCTATAGACCAAACTGAGCAGTTTCCGCTATTCCTCTCACTGCAGATGATGGCACACACGCCGCTCCACCCTGGTGGCCTCCTTCTGCTCACGGCCTAACCTAGAATCCCTGGACTTGCCTTGAGGGAGCCGTTGCGAGGCGGTTCCTGCCTGTTTCTTCCTGCTTTCCAAGCTCCCCATGCACTGATCTTCCTTCAGTTCTTCTGACTCCTTCTGCCTCCAGACCTTCAAGCACGCGGTGACCTACACCTGCAGCGTTTTCTCCCTGGTGTCGAGCTTCACCTAGACAATAGCACCCACGTCTCAGGGAGCTCCTCTGGGAGCCTCGTCGGATGCTCCCTCTCCCTGGCCCTTCCAGACAGCTTCCTACTCACCATCCTGCGTTTTCCTTCTTGCCCCCATAGCAGTTCTCAAGAACACCCCTGCCCTCCAGCAGCAAAGCCATCCAATACCAAATTTTCAGTCTTGAAAACGATGCCTAGCACGTCAAGGAAAGACATGAAACATGGTTTGAATGAGTGAGAGTAACTTAGCAGTGAGGAGGCTGTCTGTGAATCTCCGTGTGTGCACTGCACTTCACTGCACTTGAGAGTGCAGGATGCGAGCGTGGCAGTGACCAGAGGCCTGCTTGCCCACCAGCTCACCAGGGGCCAAGCAGGCCTCCTGTCTGGCTCAGTAGTCGCCGGGAAATCCTGTCATCCCCACGCGCATTTCTGTCCAGGAAGACTGGCGCGTTATAATGGTCCATATGTCCCAGCTCACGAAAATAAAAGCATTGGGAAGTTGATATTTGCCCCCTGAAGCTGTGCCATTGTTTCCCCCATGTTTACATCCCTACTTTAGTGTAATATATTTAAAACCAACCTTGAAGGGGGCTGGGGTGGCTCACTCGGTTAAGAGTTTGACTCTTGGTTTCAGCCCAGGTCATGGTCCCGGGGTTCGTGAGTTCAAGCCCTGCATCGGGCTCCACACTGTCAGTGGTCGGGATTCTGTCTCCCTCTCTCTCTGCCCCTTCCTTGCTTGTGCTGTTTCGCTCTCTCTCTCTCAAAATAAATAAACTTAAAAAAAAAAACAACCTTAAAACACTGGTTTTTTTCATGCGTAACTTCTGTAGAAAGTCTTCAAGCCTACAGTTGGCATGTCTGGCTATGCTCCTGTGTGTGCCAGAGACACCGGGGTGCGACCTCACTTCCTTCTGCGTAAATGGGAGCATTTCACCAGGTACGCGAGAGAAAAATGGGTTTCCAAACTGTGATGCGTGACTTAGTTTTCTGTTAAGAATTGACTCTCGTAATGTGGGTCAACCCCCCAAGGAGGAGCTGTCTTTACGCATTTTCTTCCTCAAGTCCGCGCAAGTATTGCATGTGTCAGGATGGGACCTGTTACAAAATTACCCACCTACTTCTCATTCTCTCCCCCACCACCACCACCAGTTCGTAAATATGATGCGGCAGCCAC